AAGATGCCAAATTTGAACAGATTGTGTGATATTCGAACTTACCATCAGCATCACAACTCGCCTCCATAACTTTCATGTCGTCGAAGAATACATTGTCGATCATTACATCAAGAAAATGATGGCTTTTCTAGAATTTGATATATATTGGATATGAATTTTTGCATACGTAAGCACGTAAGGTATTTCTATGTTTGCAAAATTTATCATATAGAAATTGAGTTGGTGCGCAAACTAGCTTTCGGGATTCATTAGCATATTCTTAATCTAACAAATAATCGAATCCGCTCGGAACAGTTGTAAAATCTTTTGCAGAATTGGAGCAAAGGCATAAAAAAGTGTATTTTTGGCAGAGAGATGAAGTTCGAATACTTACCTGTAGATTAAGAATGTCATCAAGTGTTAGTTGATAGCAGATCTGACGAATCAGTTCCGGTGGAAGCAGACCCAATTGGCCTAGCGACATTTGGGAGTTTTCTGTAGGATATAAGGTATTAAAGTGCTCGAATAAGCAATTTCCTAAAGGCGAAAATAGGGAGAAAATAAGAAGGAGGCTAAAAATCCAAAATAGGAGAGAACGCGATAGGTCAAGTGGCTGCTAATTAAGGGGGAGTATAAGGGATTTATCGGATGTCTGACTGAGCTACCAAGAGGGTTATGCAAATAGGATGGAACGCAACTGATTAGCCCAACCGTGAAGAGCGTCACATTTCGTAAACACATATGCCATAGGATTTGGAGTAAATAAAGGATGGTTTAAGTAGTTAAAATGCTAAGATTGCACTACGAGAAACAGGAGATGAAAGAAAACTGGGGTGAACTGTGCAGTAAAGTGCGTAGTTGTAAATTGGGAAAAAGGCAAATTAATTACTGCTTCATGAAAGAACGAACCACATGGCTGATGGTGCAAACGGAGTCAAGCCATGAAAGCGTGAAATGAGTTTGTATAGGTTTGAGGTCTGCTGCACCTGGAGGAGGCGGCGCATGTCTCCGCCTGCCCAGCGCATTTCCACGACAAATCGCTGGCAGTCTATGATTAGTGCATAGTACCGGAAGGGAAATGTAATGTCTTTGATCCTATTGGGGATAAGACATCGTCGCAACAGGAAAAATTCATTCCGACAC